CCCCCGGCGGCACCGGGAGGGAAAGGGGGCGCGGAGCTGCCGGGGTCCGGCCCGGTGAGGGAAACCACCGGCGCAAGAGTGACCGCGAAAGTAGGGGAACGAGCAAAGACGGAGCGCGCCTCGAAGGGGAAGGCGCGAAGCAGTCACGAACCCACCCCAAACCCAAGCGAGCCCCAAAACTTACCCCCTGTGAAAATCTGCTAAGCAAGGATCGGGGTCTAGAAATCTATACTGAACAGAAGCAGTGGAGAATATTTTTCTGAGTCTCAGGGCAGAAGCTCTTTCTCTATATTCTTGGTTGAGTGAGCACATCCAGGTGTGAAATTGTTTGCACACCCCAGCACCTCTTATATTGCCAGCAAAATTAGCTGTTATTACTGTCACTGTTTAGTGATGGTTAGCTTGATAAAAAAAACCTGCTGTAATCAAGACCTGGCGCATCTTTGCAAATTACAGATAATTGTAAACGTCCAGATTATGATAATAGCATCCTAATCCAGCCTGCAATATAATTATTACAGAGTGTTACATCTGAAACTGTCCAGTAGGGCTAATTCAGCCATTATTTAGACCCTATTTTTGCACTGCAAATGGGTTGCTGAGTTGAAAATGTACGATTGTAATTTCACGGGGCACTCAATGAGTAATGGTATAGGGAGAGAAAAATACAAAAGTGAAATGTGAACAGTAGCGATCAAATCAAACTCTGAAGGACAAAAGACTGTTTGATTCATAGGGAATGAGAAGAGCGGGAATTAAGAAAATAGCAAATCAGTGGTCTGCAGCGTTACGTGTCCAAATCTCAGCGAGTGCGAGCCTGATGTGCAGGCAGGGGCTGATGCTTCGGGCTCCCGCCCGCATCAGTCCGCCTCTCGGCTGGGCTCTTCCCGGCAGTCTCGCCCCGGTACCCAGAGGATCCCCGGGCTCCCCACCATCCCCAAAAGCGGGCTCGCCCTTCTCGTGTGCCTCCTCTCAGGTGACTGGACGTCACTTTCGGGCAAGAAGCCTCGGGAGCCTCGTAACGGGGCGGGGGAGAGCGCGGGGTGCGGGACGCCGGGGCCGGGCACCCTCCGCGGGAGGCTGCGGAGCCCGCGGCCTTTTGCGCTCCCGCGCACCCGCTGGACCAGTCGTTAGGGGTCCTTCAGGAAATTATCGCAGAACC